ATGGATGGATGGATGGATGGATGGATGGATGGATGGATGGATGGATGGATGGATGGATGGATGGATGGATGGATGGATGGAATTACTAATCTGACCAAATCTTATGTAACTAACGGTCCTCAGTTGTGCTGAAATCAGCCAATAATATTTTAACCAACCATGAATCGGTGGTTTTATTGCCGGCAGAATGGAGCCAGACTGAGCTGCCGGTAGATTCTAAATGTTCCGGTTCTATTAAAGGGCAGAGACACTCATCTTGTTGTTCCATTATAGTGAGCTCATCTATGATAACAGCTCTGTAAAATAAAAGCACAATTTATTTGATTTTCCATTTCCATTTTAATCGACTCACTGAGTCATCAAACATCCACATCTAAAGAGGTGTTTGAAAATGTTTCACATTTATGCTCAGAGTTTTACAGACGTCTGTAAGTAGAGCATGGTAGCTGTAGGCACTGGTATAGCCATATACAGCCGTATAGCCGTTAGGATGAAAGTGCCTGCCCAAAAACAAAACATTTTCAGTCAGGCATTAATATGGAGGGCGAGATCTCCTAAAACTAAAACTGCATCCTACGCAGGAGTCTCTGACTCCACTTCAACTATAGACCCTGAATAATCTGCAGCAGTACCGGAGACCTGGAAACGGTTCTCACACTCTACTGTCCTACTGCTCGATGTTATCGTTTATTAAAGGTGTAGAGGACAACCTTTTATTTCCAGGTGGATCATCTCAATCAGTGGTCCTCCTAACTGTCAATCATTCTGGTGATGTGTTTACGTAAGGTCGTCCTACGTCCTTGTCCCGTTAGCGAGCTGTTTCTTTCAGGCAACCAGGCAGACAGTCATTGAAGCTCACCTTTCTCACCGCCATTCTTTGAAAATGGCGGAAGGTCGGAAGACAAAAAGTGTCTCAGTGTATGAGAAGAAAAGAAAGGCCTCAGAAGAGGCAGATATATCCCAGAATGCTTTGCACGGAGCACTGTCCTCGCAAACCATTATGGGATTGGCTGTCAAAGCGGCCCGCTGTTGCTACCCGACAGCTGCGACTAATAACAAGGATGGCACAATGAGTTACGTGACCAACGGAGCAAAAAGCAGTGATTATCTGTCTGAATGGTCAGTTAACTGAGTTCACTATAAAGTTCACTACTGTATATAGTCCCCGCTCTATAGTGATAGAGGGATTTAGGGGTTAGAGAGGACAGTCAGACACAGTAAGCTTGGATGAGAACACCAACTTCTAAACTGAGCGTGCACAAGGAAAAATGGGCTAGTGCACGCTCTCACACGTCCCAAAAATGAGAAAATCCTCCAAAATACCTTTAGAGGTCATAGCTACAAGTTTTTCATCAGACTTTTTAATTGTGGAATTAATATATCCATGAAGCATCCAATAGGAGCCGGAGTTCAGGTGATGCCAGATGCTAATATGTCTGTGAAAGAGCGAAGAATTAGCTTCTTCTTTCTCTCAGGGCTCCATCTTTCAGATTCAAGTCAAAATAAAAACATTAAGAAGTGACGTGAGGCTGAGCATCTGTTAAACATCAGAGAGAACGCAAAGTTAGACACTTTCTTCTCCAAATACGTAAACTGTTTGCTTTGGTTTGGTTAGCATTAGCGTACCTGGCAAACCACAAGCACAAACTTTCAGTTTACTGGAGGAATTAAGACTCGTAGTTGTTCCCTTTAATCCATTTGAAAAAGACTAAAATTCTTTCAGATTAAGTTTTTTAAAAACAGTCTTAGAGACATAGATTTTACAGAAAAAGACAGAATTTTTTCCTTTAACCAAATCTAGAAACTGTAGAATCAGCATATAACATGTGGTGTGCCTCAGGGCTCCATGTTCGGACCATTCCCCTATTGCTTAGCCGCTATAGAACAACCTTAACATGTAAGTCATCACTCTTTAGAAATGTGCTGTATTTTATTTAACCTTAATTTATCTTTACCTTTAACCAGAAAAGTGCAACTTAGATTTAAAACCTCTTTTTAAAGGCAGCCCTGGGTTTGAAGCAGCAAATACTGATATTTATCAGAAAAATTAACAGCAAACGAAGCTCACTAAAGTATTGATTGATATAAAATTGTCCTGCTTTACTATGGTGAATAAAACAATGTAATGTGAAAACAACTTATCACTTTCTGAAAGATAATAGGGATTAAGAATTAAAAAAAGTTTTGATTCCGAAATTACCTCGGTCCCACTGTGGGAGTGCTGGCAGATTTAGACCAGTCACTCGTTGTCCTGTCAGTGTCAGTCGGGGTGGAAGCCATCACATTTAGCTCCAAACTGACCTGGGATCTGCTGCTAACTCCTGAAAAGATATTGAACACATTGGACGGCTTAGTAACCACAGCATCCAATACATCCAAGCTTTAGAAAAAGGTTGTTTTAACATTCACTGAAAAAAACAATGCATTGCTTCACAGCTATTCTCAGAGAAGGACAGGCCGGTGGACATGATCCTGGGTGGGCTGGTATTCCAGTGAGAGTGGGGCCAATGAGAGTACAGGATGACCTGCTGCCATTGGGAGACCCATGCGCTATGAAATGGTGCTTAAATAAGTATATAAAAGATGTCAGAGTGAGACCAAATTAATGATGGGGTTGCCTGGCTTTGGTCTCCTGGACCTCTGAGCCTTCCTGTTCTGATCTGTTTGCCTGATCTGGCTCCAGACTCCTGCTTGTTCTCCGGAACTGTTCTTTTTGCTTTTAAATACCTAATCCATAATCTCCTCATTTAAACTTAAAATCACTAAAACTGCATCATCCAACAGGTCTTACTGTTGAAGTTCAAACCAATACTTTGACCTTTTATATGAACAAATGCTGATTAAGGTTATGATCATCCCCTACTAATCATCATTTGAGCCTCCATGTTGGCTCTGAAAGTGTTAATTTCGTCCTTAAAGTTAACTGGTATCCAATTGTTCACAACATTTGCAGATCTACTCGCCCCTGTCATCATACTCTGGATCTCATGCTGAAACGTGGCATTCAAGGTGAACAACTGAGTTTTTCTTCACAACTCTTTCCTGTCTGATCTTTTTTTTAATAACCTTTGAACATAAACTAAGCTGTTGCTCCTGAAGACGGTGGATATCTCCCTGCACTCTGGGCTGATTTGACATGGGACACCATAAAAACTGGAAATATAGACAAACAAGCCACACTTATGTTTTCATATATGAGAGATGCTAAGGTGATAATGTGGCCATGGAAGTATAATTCAGTTCAATTCAGTTTATTTCTATAGCGCCAATTCACATCATGTCATCTCAGGTCACTTTCCAGTTCACCAGATCATTCAGTCAGATTGATTCAAAGTTTTCTATCTAAGGAAAACCAGCCGATTGCATCGACTCATTGACTCTTTAGCAATCCCTCACACTAAGCATGCTTGTAGCGACAGTGGAGGGAAAAAACTCCCTTTTAACAGGAAGAAACCTCCATCAGATGATGTTCTTTGGAGTCTTCATCTCTAGTTTACCCTGTCAACATGCTTTCAGTCCAGTCAAATGTCTATTTTCATTCACATGTCAGGCTGTGAGAGTGGGCTTGAACTCAGAACCTTTGGGACCCAAGCACGATGCCCTAACCACTAGGCCACCCCTTCGCCAAAACTTGTTTGCATGAATATGCAGACATTCTGATCCAATCCCACTGCATGCTTGCTCGGGAGGAGGAGTTGGATAGTTAAAGACTCCACATATCTCTACATAGATCACTTTTTAATCAAATACTGATACATGACTAAATTTGGATTGTAGTAAATTATAATTTATGTATTTTGTGTTGTCTAAATCCTTAGATATTAGTTGGACCTGTTTGTCCTGAGAAGTAGGTAAGATGACAACGTACTGAAATGCACTGAACCAAAATCAGAATGGATTAAACAAGGAGGAAAGGAAGTCTAAACAAAAGACATGAAGTAGATTACACCTGGAATACCTGTGTGAAGGGGGGTCTTGTCTCTTTGGGGCCCAGGATGTGTTTGGTACATGTCGGCTCGTTCCCTCCCTGGTTCCACCGGTGTCTGGTATAAATCTTTGTGAGGCTCTGATAGATCCAGGTGTTCGAGGTCAGAGTCCAGCTCCCGGGCCCTCCTCTCCAGCTCTGTGAGACTGAGCTCAGAGGCTGCTGAGGAGGGAGGGTGAGAGCCCCCAAAGCCGATGGGAGGCCGGAGGAGAGGCCAACACTGCAGGGAGCCTAGAGGGGAATCTGCATCTTCTCCACCTGCTTCACGTTTCTCCCAGCTGTCATCCCAAAGAGTGTTGACCATGTCAAGAACATCGTCCCAACCCTCCACACCTCCTTCCACTGCAGGATTCGTTCTGTATCTTCCATCTGCCTCACCTTCTATGTTTAGTTTGCTTTCTGCCTCATTTTCTTGCTCCTGTAGTTCTTTTGAACCAACTTTAATTTGTATTCCTATATCATCCAATTTTTCAGACACTATTTCTAGATCCACTTCTTTTTCCTTTTCCTTGTTTTTCAAATTATTTTGCAGATTTTTTTCCTCCACATTCATCTCCACCTTGTCTTGTTTGATGTCCAATGGAGCTTCCTTCTCATTTTTCAGTGGTTCTTCTTTCTTCTCTTCCTTTTCTTTCTTTTCCTCTTTCTCTGCCTTCTCCTTATTCTGCTCCACTCGTTTGTCACGACTTCTGGATCTCCTGGGCTCCTCTTGCTCTCTGCAGACCCTCCAGTGCTCCAAGTTCTGCTCCCTAAGGGAGGCTCGGCCTACCAAACCGCTGCCCTGTCCTGGCTCCGGGTGAGCCGGCTCCCTCAGTGAGCATCGTCCTACAATGGGATTCATCAGATTCGATAAGGGGTTCTCTGAACCGTGGCGCAGGTGTGGATGCCTCTTCTCCAGTGCTGACAGCACAGAAGGAAGTGGAGGGAGGATAGGGAGATTGTGTAGTGCCCCTCCCTGACGGACAGTCCTCTTTCGGACCATGACTCTGCGAGGCCAGGTGAACTCAGTACCCTCAGGTGGTGCAGTTGAGTCAAAGTCTCCTAGCCTTTTGCTTTCTCTGGGGCTCAGCACTCCTGGGCGCATCCCTGTGGCTGTGCCTGGTCGAGACCTGGAGCAGGACTTGGATGATTTGGACTTGGATCTGGAGCTTTTCAGAGCATGACTTGATTTTGGTGTGTCGGTGTCTTCAAGCTTTTTCCCTTCCTGGTCTACAGGGACAGTTTCAGGTGTATCTCCTGCCATGGAGCCTGGCTGAGGCTCCCCTTTAGTTTCAGCCTGGCTGTCACTCTCACTCTCTTTCACTCCTCTGTCACTGATCGCCGCCTCTGGCTTTTCCCCTGACTTGGAAACAGGAGCAATCTTAGGGTCAGGTTTAGCCTCTACTCTGGACTCAGATGTTAAAACAACATTCGATGTTAGTTTAGGTTCATCCTCTATTCCAACCCTATTTTCCTCTGGTTGGGAGTGAATCTTAGCTGCTGGCTGAAGCTCCAGCTGGCTTTCATGAACGACTGTAGTTTCAAACTGAACTTTGTCAATAGGATCAACATTCTTCTCATTGACACTTGTTTTCTTGGGTTCAGGTAGACGTTCTTGTCTAGCTCTATCTCCAGCAGTTTTCTCGACACACTTTGTTACTCCTTTGTGTTCCGCTTTATGCTCCATCCCTGACTGCACTTTTCCCTCCAGATCCCGACCCCCAGGGCGTGTTTTCACTTGGGAGCCCATCCTCTTTTCAGGTTTGTTCTTTACACTAGACCTGGATCCATTGTCAAATTTGTTCCAGCTTTCTGTTTGATTGTGCTCCTGGTTAACTGACCTCAATTCTGCTTCAGAAATGTTTCCAGTTATGACTTCACTGACTAATCTGGGCCCGCACCCAGACTTACAGTCCACCAACATCAAACTAACACTCCCGCTGTCGCACCTAGAAAACATCCCTCCACCGACACCTTCAGGGCCGACCTTTGACCCAGCTCGGTTCCTGCCTACTGCTCCCGTACCCATTCTGGGAGCCCCACTGGGGGAGGGGGAGGGTGAGGGTGAGGGCTGGGGCAGCAGCAGAGGAGTCGTGTCCAAGCCATGGTCAGACTCTATAAACACAGAGTCCCGGTCCGAGCGCAGAGGAACAGGTCGGCCATATCCAAAGGTCCCGAAAGTGGATGTCTCCCTTCTCTCCCTTTCTCTGGCTCTCTCCCTTTCAAGCCTTCCCCTCTCTCTCTCCCTCTCCCACTCTCGCTGGGCCCATCCCCGCTCCATCTCCCGTTCCCGCTCCCTTTCCCAATCCCTGTCACGTTCACCGCGGCCCCATCCACTTCCTCGCTCCCTGAGGTCCTGCTCCAGGTCATGAGCAGACAGTTGGACCAGGGGGGCCCTGTAGGGGGACCTTCTGAGCTCATGTGGGGGGGACAGCCTCAGGCTCTGGGTTTGGGAATAATGTCTTGGCTGGATCACTTGGGGAGGGGAGCAGCGTAGGCTCTGGCTCTGACTGGGACGAGGTTTGGCTGGAGAGAAAAATACGGGAGTGTGGTATCCTGTTGACAGAGGGGAGCCAGAGAAGGGAGAGATGAGTGGGGAGGTGAGAGAGGAGGACTGGCCTGCAGCAGGGTAGTGGCCTGGATTCAGATAGCCTCCTCCTCCTCTGTCCATCATCTCTGGCGTAGGTATCTCCACACACTCCAAGGGCTTTGGAGATGACATTGCTTTCCAGGAATGACGGCTCTCTCTGCTTTTTGTGCTGTCTCCATGGTGATGGTGGTGATTGTGGTGTTTCTTTGATGAAGAGGACACTCCTGGTGCAGAGAATGAGGACACGGAGGGAGAAACGGATCGGTTGAAATGGCCCTGAGGGTGACAGCCATCTATGTCCTCTGCTCCCAGCTTCAGGGAGTCATAGATGGCTCTCTCATCCAGGCGCCGGACAAAGGACGGATTTGGAGTCAAACAGTGTGGCTGAGGATCAAACATGTCTGACCTGCTCACTCTTAGAGAGCCACTCATGGAGTAGCTAAAGCTCCCGTCTCCACCTCCATCCCGCCTCACCGACCCCCCAGAGTGGTGGTGATGGTTGTCAATCTGCTGGTTTATGCACATGGTGTCATAAATGGATCTCTGAGGCACGTAACCATCCCCATAACCCCCCTCGAGCCCCAAATCCCGGCCTCCCACTCCCCCATCCCCTAGGCCGTGTTTCTCCAGGCAGCAGGAGCTCTTCCTGAAACACCCCGGACGGCTGAGAGGCTTGCCCATGTTTGGTGGGGGGGGTTGGTGGGAGGCACGTCTACAGCTTGAAGAGCGAATTGTGAGGTCTTTTTCTGGTCTGAATTTGGGTAAAAATGCTTTTCAAACTACAGCAGACTGTGCGAGAAGTGCAGCAGCGTTCTTCAGGAAGACCGTATGAGACATCAACCAAAGTCACTGTTTAAAAATCCTTGTTCTTCTCCAGTTCACAACTTAACAATGTCCCATCTGTTTTCTGGAGGGGTCAGAAGATTCTTCCCATTGAAGCTTGAAAGTTCAACAAAACGTCCTTCTGTCGAAGACTCCATGTCAGAAAAGCATCATAGACACCATGAAGTTCAAACTGAGGAATCCTTTTCCAATTAGATCCAAAAAGCACAAAAACAAAAAACAGAAGCAGCCATTTTCACTTTGGAAGCTCATCTTCCCTCCCACTCTCCTCACATCATGGCAGCATTGTGTTTTTTGTTCTGTTTAGAGCCAATTAAATGTCCTTCCAGCAGAGCGTTTGTCCATTTGACACAAATCAACAGAAAACAGCAAATCGGACGGATGGTGGGATCCAGCCGGACCTGCACGGTTCATTCTCCTGAGGTCTGATGATTAATGGCTCCTGCAGAAAAACAAAGAACATTAAGACGATGGAAACCATCTTAAAAACCAGCAGCTTTTAAACAGAAAAGTAATGTTTGACAGTAATGACAGGAAAGTAATGTTTCTGATGTTTCCTGTGAACCGTTGTCCTTACAAAAAACTGCTTTAACCAGATTATAGCTACTGCATTTAATAATGGTACACAGGATAAACGATGCAGCCTAATAACAACAATTAATTTTTATATCAAAGTTTTATTGAGGAATCAGATATGAAAAATTAAACTACAAAAATAAAAAAAATCCTCTTTTTGATGTGAACATAAAACAAAGACAAAGCAAAAATAAAAGTGACATAAATAAACCTCCCCTTTCCCACATCTTATCACACCGAGAATCAAATCAAATTCCCTTGAAATCGAGTTATCAATATTTAGCCGAAGGAGTTGCCAAGTTCTATCATATCGATTCAAGTTATTTGCTAATGAGAACCTTATTCTCTCCAAATGAGAAAGCCTAACCAGTTCCTCCAGCCACAATTTAACCAAAGGAAGCTCAGATTTTCTCCAAAATATCAAGACTATTTTTCTTCCCTATAATAAATGCATAGGATATTAATCATTGTTGGTTTTTTCCCGCTCTAGTTCGCCTACCGACGGAACCGTTCCACTGAGGACGCCATCTCTGCTGCTCTCCACCTGAGCCTGACACACCTGGAGGAGAAGAACACCCACGTGCAGATGCTGTTCCTGGACTTCAGTTCAGCTTTCAACACCATCATCCCACAGCATCTGATGGGCAAACTGGAACAGCTGGGCTTCAATACATCCCTCTGCTATTGGCTGCTAGACTTCCTCACCAACAGACCTCAGTCAGTCCGGGTCGGACAGAACACCTCTGATGTCATCAGTCTAAGCCCCTCCCCTCAGGGCTGCGTCCTGAAGCCCCCTGTTGTTCACCCTGATGACACATGACTGCGTCCCCAGTTTCACCACCAATCACATGGTGAAGTTTGCAGACGACACCACGGTGGTGGGCCTCATCAGAGACGACAACGACCTGGACTACAGAGAGGAGGTGGAAGAGCTGGTGGTGCAGAGATAACAGCCTGAAGGTGGAGAAGATGGAGGAGATCATGGTGGAATTCAGGAAGAACCGTCCTAACCACGCTCCACTGCTCATCAACAGCTCAGCTGTAGAGGTGGTCAGCAGCACCAAATTCATCACAGACACCCTCACCTGGACTAGAAACACCACCTCACTGGTCAAAAGGGCCCAGAAGCGCTTGGACTTCCTGCGGAGGATGAGGAGAGCCCCCCCCCACCTTCTCCAGAAGCACCATAGAGAGCGTTCTGACCAGCTGTCTCACTGTGTGGTGTGGAGGCTGCAGCGCCTCAGACTGGAAGAAGGTGAGGAGAGTGGTGAGAACAGCAGAGAGGATCATGGGGGCTCCTCTTCCCTCCATTAAAGACATTTCATCCCACCGCTGCGTGTCCCGAGCCAGTGACATCATCAATGACCCCTCACCCCCCCACCATGGACTGTTCTCCCTGCAGCCCTCTGGGAAGAGGCTTGACAGCATTCAATGCAGGACCAGCAGGTTCTGCAACAGCTTCTTCCCCACCGCCATCAACCTGATAAATGTGCTGTAAAATGAGTTATTTTATTTATATAAAAAAATTTTAGAACAGTAAATATAGAGTCATATGTTTATATTACTATTTTTTTATGTATCTATTACTGTTTTCAAGGCTGCACTTTAAAAAGTGACATTTTCTAGAGCTGTTTTAAACGGAATTTCTTTTTGTTTAAACTTGTTTATACAAAATGGCAGAAATATATCTGTCAAAGTGTAATTTATTAAATTAAAAAAGCTGAGTAGAAGTGGATGAGAAGTAGATTCAGCCTCGACTCTGTATATCTGATAAAACAACAATTCATTTTTGTGTGTAAAATTAAATCATTTTGCCTTTTTGTCTATAAAGATTCAAACGTTTGTCTCTGCCTTAACAGTTTATTTTTAGTAACAGTTTATTTTCTGTATTACTTTCACTTTTATACTTTAAGTAAATTTAAAAATGGTACTTTAAAACTTCTACTGGAGCTAAAAGCTGAAGTTGATCCTCTAACTTCTATAAAAGTGTTTTTGAACAGCAGGATTTATACTGGAGGAATAAACATGAATACTTTGGACGCCTCTGGCTGGAAGAAAACATGTTTTCAATTCAGTTTCAGTGAAGAAGTCGAAATGAAACCTGTTTGCAATGCAAATGACATTTGCTTCCTTCATTTTAACTCTGTACAGCATGTTGGTCGCTTCCAGTTGTGGAACATCATGTTTAATATGATGTCATTCAGTGTAATGGTTGGCAGCCATGTTGAACTCCAATAATGACCTGATATGGACCAGCATCATCTTTCCTCTCATATTTTGCTCAGAGGTTCATCAGAGCCATAAGTTCAAAGGATTTAATGCGAACAAAATCAACCAAAAACTTTATCCCGCCACTTCCTGGGAGCCATGTTGGATTGTGACACCAGGACTGGTGCAAAGCATCAGACTCTCCCTGACAGATTTCTGATTTTCTGGAACCTCTGGTTATTTGGAGAACAGGTGTTTATGGTTTATTTACCTAGAAAGATAGGAACTGTATCCTATGGGTGATTTTAAGGATAAACTACAACAGTCTAATTTCCACTCTAAACCCTTTTAGCATCACATATTCATCCTTGGCTTATCCCAGCATGTCCCACATCTCATTGCTCCTGCAGGTAAGGAAAGAAAAGCTGGAATCTCAGCCTGCATTTCCTCCCATGGATGAGCCAAACGCAGAGCTAAATTTAGACGCGCAGTAATTCCTGTGGGGAACTTTAAGGAAGTTGTATCTTAGAGGAACCGTCACCGACCAGTCGCACAATGAAAGATGTTTAGATTCTAACATTTAAATAAATGGTTAAGCTGAAAGAATTTGATTTAGATGAATAAAACCAAAGAAAGCTTTATAACACACCCTGACCAAACATGTTTCCCCTTCAATCCACCATCCCTCTGGAGACAGACGCCTCAGAACAACGATTCCCTCAGCGGTGAGAAGTTACAGCAGCTAATAGCTAATGAGAAGAAAACTGAAAATGAGAAACATCTGGAATGTTGATTACATCAATAAATATCAGTTTAACTGTAGGATAAAGTCACCAGCGCCTCATTGACATGCAGCAGTGATGGAAACCAGTGCATCTGTGTCAAAGGAGCCTATTGATAGAGGAGACCCTCTCCGTCCTCTGCTCCGCTCTGTCACTGCTGCCTCCACCTGCTCTACCCCCCACCCCCACCCCAACACACACACACACACACACAGAACCACAGGATGGACGACAGTCAGAACCTTATCAACATGGTCGCAGTCGGGGAATAACTGGGTGAATCCGGAGCAGTAGTGCTTGTAGCTCCATCCTGGCGATGCGCTCTCATCATCAGCATCCTTTCTGCTCGGGTCTCTCCTGCATCTCTTCCTTCTCTACCTCTCCCTGCCGTTTGTTGTTCTGTCACTTGTCTCCCTCCCTCTCTGCTTCTCTCTGGCTCTGCTGTGAATCATGCCTTCTGTCAGAGGGTTTTTTTTTTTTGACAAGCTCTCTCTGCCAACCAACACACCGACGCAAACCCTCCTCCTCCTCCTCCTGCTCTCCCTTCCAGTTTCTATTTACCTCACTTCAGCCTCCCTCCATCTCTCCTTTCTTCCTTTTTCTCTTCTTATATCTGCCTCCTATTTGCATTGCTTGTAGCTGTGGAGCCTCTAAAGACTTTGGAGCCACAAAATAGCCTATATCCATCTCAATCTGTATTATGTATCTATCTATGCATATCTTTCTATGCATATCTATCTATCTAAGCATATCTATCTATCTATCTATCTATCTATCTATCTATCTATCTATCTATCTATCTCTATGTGAAGCTCTGCCTCAGTCTCCCACACACTCTTTTCTTCTGCGGCTCTCCATCCCTCTTGTAGGCCTCTCAGTTTGCCCTCTGCCTCCCACTCTTCACCTCAGCGTTAAGGCAACACGTATCGGTGTGGAGGCGGCAGCACAGAGAACTACAGAAAGAAAGACCAACAAAGGATTCTCACATGTTGTGCAGCCCAGTTTAAAGGCACCATGATCATCATCAGCAGCTGCAGCATCATTTGGTTCTTTTTTTGCCGTGTTTATCTGAGTGGTCCGTGCACAGACGGTTTCACCTGAACTGCTATAAAGTCTTTTTTTCACACAGAGTGGAGGCATCTACCATGAGGGACTATGATTGGTCACAGACATCTATAGCAACACTGGGTTTCCTCTAAAAACCACAGAGAAGCCACAGAAGGCTCCCTCAGTGCAGCAGCAGCCTGCCGGTCCCTTAGACATCGATGCAGGGGACAACTTTAATTAGAGTGTACAACCCTCTAATCACCAACGACAAGAGGATGATCATTATCAGTTATATTGTAGTTATTATTTATACATTGTTTAAAAACACCTTGAGTTTATTTGAGTTGTGATCAGGAACTGCTAAGTATTAATAAAAAAAAAAAATCCTGAGTAAGATAGAAGAAAAGATCAATATTGATGCAGTCAATTATGAAAATGATCGAATCCCCTGAAAAACTAAAGATTCCTGTAGGCATTTAAATCTGTAGGTTAGCTTAGCTTCTCTGAAAGACTGGTGATGGATGGATGGATGGATGGATGGATGGATGGATGGATGGATGGATGGATGGATGGATGGATGGATGGATGGATGNCATGGATGGATGGATGGATGAAGGATGGATGGATGGATGGATGGATGGATGGATGGATGGATGGATGGATGGATGGATGGATGGATGGATGCCTGCCTGCCTGCTTCTTTGATTTTGCTGCTCCTGAGTAGGGAACTGCAGGCGAAGCATTGATCAGCTCAGTTTCTTCCATCTTTAAACGGACAGAGACCCGAGGCAGAAGCCAGAAACTCACCTCTGACCCTGAGGAACATTTACGGCTTTGTTTGAAAATCCAGGAGAATAAAAAAACATCTTTGTCTTTGTTTTACAGAAAATGTTGTGTGTGGATTTGGTGGCTTAAAACTTTAAAAAGATAGTTTATTCTATATGCATCTGTCACCATGGTAACCCACAAAGCATCAAGTCCTCAGCTCCAATGAGGCACTGGGAGGGTGAAAACATTACTGTATATTAATAAAGCATTAATATACAGTTTCTAACAGCTCAATGTTTCCCTGCATTCAGCCGACTGAGGCTGCCTACATCGGCCAGCCTGCTAAAACTGGGCCAGTGGATGCTGGGTGTGATTGACAGGATGGAGCCTGACTCACTCTTCTTTTTACCATGCAGCTCGGCTCTGGGTTGACTGCGTTAGTCTGTCTGTTGGAGATAAACACAGAAAAAGTCATGCATCTGTCTGAGGAAAAACCCTGAGGTTTACTCTGAGCCTTTGTCTGGATTGGAGAAAGCTTCGTTTACCTGCAGTGATTTCAGAGGCGACCGCTGCTGCTAATGAGGTAACAGATAATGCGGCTGGAAACTTCGATCAGAACATTTACTTCCCAAAAAATATCCATGTTTCTGGATCATAGCGCCCCCCACCCCCAATGGATGCAATGAGGTTTTACTCTTCCACACAGTGAAGCCCTGGTCTGTTGACCTTTGCTGTGTACCTGCCAGCATAAAACCGCCTCTCAGTCCCACTTCCTGTCACCTCCCTTCAAAAATAAAGCTGCTAGTGCTTAAATAAAGGAATTCAGGTTTCAAGAGCCTGGATCAGGACTAGTTTGAACTGACTGGAGGACTCGACAGGTGTGTATCCCTTTAGTCATGTACAAAAAAAAACAAAAACAATTTAAGGTCAGATCCCCATACACTTCAAAAAAACACCAAAAAGTAAGTAATTAAATAGTTTTTTTGTACACGCTCTTTGAGGTAGTTTAAAGTGGATGCTTCGTACAAAACTAAAGTGATAAACGTGTATTGACTATGAGTATGCTGGTCTGATAGAACGCCGGCTTATCCAACTCGATCATTTGAATTTTTTTGTTACACTTTCCCATTAGAATCTGTTTATTGTTTATTTTACAGGAAATGTGGAACATCTTAATAACAATGTTCCAATGTTAACAAACCACCTGAAGAAAACATTGCTGATTGCGGGGCTCGAGGAGGATGTTAATCCAGTTTTGGGACTGGCGGCCATGTTGGATTCTGTCACAGTAATCATAGCTTAGCGTCTCCACTGGTTCAGTGGTTTAACAATAAAGATGGATGAACGACCACAGCTGAACATTTTATCAGGTAGTTCAGATTAATCTGAATAAAAGTGGCTGAGCATTAGGAGCAGCGCTAACCTGATGTCCCACTGCGGCTCTTATCCAGCCCTGGCTACTGCTCCTTTATTCCAATCTTTGCCATGAACTCATCATAGTCAGACTTTTTCCCATTGCAAGCTGTTAACAGACATCTGCTCCCCTGGTCTTAATCCCTCCCTCATCATCATCCATAAAGAACTCCTAAAGACCATCCAATCCCTCAGATGTTCCTGGTAAACAGATGAATCACCGAGCCGTTTCTGCGGAAACAAAGACGACTGGCTGAGTTCAGAGCAGATCATTCTGAGGCCGCCTCCTCTACGAGGAGGAGATAAACATCCATTATATCACGATTCAGACTACTGAGATTAAATGAATATGCATTTTCCTGTTGTTCTGCTGGGTCTGGGTCTCATGGAGTATCAGGCCTGATCAGTGGTCCAGGAGCCTCTCCAGGGACGCCCCTGTCCCTCAGGTTCCCTCTGATCATGGCTATAAGTCCTTCCAGTTTGCAGCTCTCACTCAAGTTGAATTGGCTCATAAAAAAAGAGTTTCTGCCTGATTTAAATCAGATCTGAGTTTCTCTTTAATCATCATCATACCAACGTTGGATCTTTTGTTTGTATTTTCTGGTGCTGCTGCCGTTTTGGTCCTGGTCTTTAATCCTTATGCACATTAGACCTCCCCTCCTTTTGTTCTTTTCTTTATTCCTTTAAAACATATCTTTTTATATTAAAAACATTTTAGAGGACAGGGATTTAACTATACTAACTATACAAAATTAATGAGCACAACATTCATATTTTCTAAATAAAGACAAACTCTGCTTTCCTACAGCCTTTGCTACAAATTGATGCACATATTTAAACATCTGTGCTTTCTAGATAAAAGGTATAGTGCAGGAGTAACCAATTAAAAACCTGAATAAAGAAAATCTTTAACCAGGAAAGATCTGGAGACATTTTTAATCATAATCTGTCACTTTAAACAGAATTTAACACTGAAATAACATGAGGTGTTTATGCATCCATTTTATGCATTGACTTTTGAAATAAAAAATATAAAAAAATAATATTTTTTTCTAATTTAAAATCTAAAGTGTTTTTTATAGTAGAGAAACAAAAATCGTTCAGTTTGGTTTATAGACATTTTCTGATTCCCATGTTTTATAAAACACCTGAATTGACCGTTTGTTATTTTTCTTTCTTTTTTCTGTCTTAATGTTAGCAGTGGGCTTTATGCTGCCCTGCAAGGCTTTAAACCTGGGTTTGAATGGAGACTAAGCCATTCTAAAGCACATATCAAGGAGCTCATTCTGAGCCTGGATCCAGATTTATTGTTGATTCTGTTCATGGTGGAGAATCCTGCTTCACAGCAGCAGGTTGAGCCAAACATCCTCTAAATGTGCAGGGTCATCTTTGAGCACCATTTCACTTTTTTTTCCAGTTCACTGCAGTTCTTCCAGCAGTCCACACTTTCTCTCCTCTTTTTCTCATCATCTTCTCCTTCTTTCCAATCGCCCGGCTTGCCCCAGGTTTGCCTGCTGTGTCTGAAAGTAGCAGCAGCAGCAACCCAGACTGACAGCTCATTGGCTCATTTTGATCACGTGAAGCCTGGAGCCGGACGCTATGGAGGGCTTTACCGTATTAACAGGAGAAGTGGATCAAGAGAAATTAGACTCTGTCGTCGGACAACATGCGGTAATTTATAAATGTTTTAAATCAGGTGGATCCGGACCGCGGTCTGCTAATCCGTGACCTCTGGTTTAGTGGATCAAATTCTTTCAAGTTAGAGTTCTGGAGCGAACATCTTTTCCAATGTCATTACTTACCTACTTTTATCAATAATCATTCTGCATAAATGTTACATTTACAAGTACTAATATATCTATATGAATCAATTATTTCATACGTTTTTATTAAAATAGTTATTTATCTATGATTTCACTGAGGAATCTTAGATGAATGCAGAGAATTTTCTCTTTACCCCATAAAACACAAGATCTAGCTCTGCAAACAGCATTCATTCTGTACTTATCATCTTTCATGTTAGTATATTAATGCGCATAAATAACCAAAGTGCTTTTCTTGTCAAGTAATTGTTAATATATGAAAAATGTAAATGTTTAGAATATGTCACTTGGGAGTATTACTGCTGCCATCATCTGTATTAGAGGGGAGAAAATGGTGGGGGCCATGCCATGCCTGCCCCCTCTTCTAGGTCCGGCCTTGTGTGAGGCAGGCACCATGTCTATCCAGTCATTGATAATTGAACTTTATTGATCTCACACTGGAGAAATTCCCTCTCTGCATTTAACTCATCTCCTTGGGGAGCAGTGGGCTGCCATTGTGCCGCGCCCGGGGAGCAGTGAGGGGTTAAGGGGCCGGCTAAGTGACTCAGAGTGGCAGGCTGTGGGAGTGGGGCTTGAAATCAGGACCTCTGGATTCCCAGCTCTATGCCGACACCACCAGGCCACCATGCTGTCCCAGTAAAGCTCTAGGAGAGACAGAAGCAGGTGGATCATCTTCAGGCGAACAGGAAGGCTGCATGTAAGGTCAGATCAGGTCAACCAGCCAGAGATCATGGCACAGAGAGAGCTGAGGTCAAAGTGGACAGACTCCATTCTCTGGCTCCCTCTGGTGGTGACTGGCTGCCAGCTCAGCATCATATCAGGTCACTTCACACCTGGTTGTCATGTTTGATTGAGCAGGACCGCTGGGGGTCCACCGGCAGAGCATGCACAGCATAACAAGTGGTGTTCACACAGGAAGCAGCTGCAGACACCTCATTGGGCTGCTCTTTGGTGTGTATGAAGGGGGAGTGCATGCAAATTCCTCCTAAAGTCTTCACTATAGCAGCACTTTAGTGTTCTTCATACTAGGAATTATTAATGGGAAGCATATTTGGTTTGGAGGGAGAGGCGTGTTTCTGTGGTTTGGAGGGGCCTCGTCCTCTGGGTCATCAGCCATGTTAGGGTCTTCCTCATTTGTTCTGCGTTGAAGACACGTCGAGCTGTGAGGCAAGCTGAGCGTCCGCCCTGCAGCAGGCGTGGAGGACATTCCTCAGTCTGGAAGGAGGCATCTGGAAAACTTTAAAAGCAAAGGGGAGGAGGGGAAGGAGCATGTTAGAGGGGCTGAGTTTCAGCAGAAGGCTTTATGATTTAAAGGTACAGGAAGATCATTCTGATGATTCTGTAAAAGGAAGTGAAGTTTTGGACAGAGACCCAGAGAAGGAAACGCTGCAGAGAGAAAGAAAGAAAGACAGAGACAGACGGAGGAAGTCTGACCAAAGAGCTCGGCCTCTTCCTTCCTCACAGAGCTCAGGAAGTGGAGCAGAGAGTCAGGGAGGGGGGGCGCTGACACACACTCACATTTTCCTGCCGCCTTCTACTTTTTTCCCTGTTTCAGTGCTGCTCGATCAGCAGGAGAAGAAACCCCAGGAGGCAGAGTTTTCCATGGAGCAGGAGAACCGTTGGACGGAGGAGGCGTGATGGAGGCCAGCACGACTTCTCAGGACTCTGGGTGAGTTTAGTGGTTCAGAGTGGGGAGAAGTTTTGGTAGAACCAAACACTTGGATGGGGTGGGGGGGCACAGATGTGATGACTCACTGTTCAAATATGGGTCACTGGCTGCTGGGAGGGTTTGAAGCTTCTTGGTCTCTTAGACCAGATCAGAACCTCTGGATCCATGGAGGTCAGCTGAAGGTTTTCCAGAAAAGCGTCTTTCTTCTTCACCTCAATCAGATTCATTTTTCTTCTTCTCTGTTGAAAGTTGGTCAACAGGAAGCTTCTGCTGGATCTGGTTCTGGTTGCTGAACCTCCAAAGCCAGCTCCCTGCTCCTCTGCTGATGGTTTATTCCTCTCGACTCTGATGAGAAAATGTCAGACATTGTTTATGTGAATAGAATAGTCATACCACTACCTCACCGTTGTTCCTTAACTTCTACACTTAAACGTAAAAGTAAATCCACCTGTATATAAGCCACCCGGACTGTACATATTTTCATTTCTTTTTTTTTTTTTTTTCTTATTCTATTTTGTTTTTCATTGTGTGCGATACATGTACACTTGCACCTTAATCCTTATTTATCTTGATATACTGTATATACCTTGATATACTGTATATATATTGCTTATTCTTAATGCACCTTGTTTGCACCTCTTGTAACTTCTATGCCAATATGTGATGAGTGAATTTCTCCGCTGTGAGATCAATAAAGCTCATCTAATCTAATCTAATCTAATCTAGACAGACTGAGGACTTTCCTGCTACAGGCGGCTGTAAATCATCCTTTCAGGGAAAGTTGAAGTGAGTCGAGGACAAAAAAGGTTCAGAGGTCAGAATCAGGAGGAAACCAGGAATACACATGTTCAGCTCCATGTGTTTCCATCTAAGATTCAATAAAGCTTTTGGTCATCAGTAACCAGGACAGACTGAGGAGAGACCTCTGAGGTTGTCCTGAAGATCAGCTGGCGGTTCAGGATGGTGGTGGTCCTGGCGAGCCTCCAGAGCTATGGAAGAAATATGAGAGCAAAGTTAAAGAAAAACCTGAAGAGGTTCTTAGAGCTTCTTCCAGGTTGGTTCCTGAGGTTCAGGTAAACGTCCCTTCAAGCTGCAGAGCAGACTGCGTTTCACAGTCTGAGTAATCTCTGCTTCTGCAGAGTCTTGTGAAATTTCTGAATTTTGCATGATGTCAGAGTTAACTTCTCACAAGAATTCAGCAATAAGCAGGAATTACTAAAGGTTTTATCCAAATAAGACATGAATGAATTCTTTCTTTATGGGAAATATGGATATTTTTCAACTAGATATATGAGAGTTATCCATGTTCTGCAAAAACTTCAACAATATAATTAATGCTGAACCATTTCTTGTTTTCTAACTGGTTTCCTAGATTGTTTCCATTCCCTGGTTTAATCTGTAAATCTACTGATTCAAGTTTAATGAGCGTATTATTGGATATAAACGTACCCGTTACTTTATTTACACTTTTTAACTTCTGCTTCTGTCTCCTTGAACCCCAGTCGGCCTCAGCAGATGGCCGCTCACGCTGAGCCTGGTTCTGCTGGAGGTTTCTTCCTGTTCAAAGGGAGTTTTTCCTCTCCACTGTCACTACAAGCATGCTTAGTGTGAGGGATTGCTGAAGAGTCAATGAATCGATGCAATCAGCTGGTTTTCCCTAGATAGAAAACTTTGAATCAATCTGACTGGATGACCTGATGAACTGGAAACTGGCCTGAGATGACATGATGTGAATTGGCGCTATAGAAATAAACTGAATAGAATGAATTGAAAACAGACACACAGATAAAACAACCATTGTTGTGCGAAGGTCAGTTCCTGCGAAGAGAAATAAACTCAACTACTTGTCAACATCCAGCAAAAATGCCGCTTGTGGATCCTATATATGCGGACGGTGAATCCATCTGTCTAATGTCCCATGATCAGCCTGTCAACTCCTATCACCATGGCAACATTCTTGTACCTTGAGCAACATGTCAGGAAAGAGTAAAAAGCAGAAATTAGAAATGCAGAACCAGTACATGACATCATTCAGGTGATGTAATGTTCATGTTTGGTTCCATCATGGCAGCTAGAAGCAGCTTTCATGTCAACATTGACCTGCTCTGATTTCCTGTGTCTGACTGATTTATTTTCCTGTAGAAGCTTGGTGATTGGGTGACTGCAGCATAACAAAACAGGAAGATCCATCCAGGACAAAGCTCTGCTGCAAAGTCAGCAACTCCAGCAATGGATGACAGGAGGACTCTGGGTTTTAGTTCTAGCTCTGTTGTTCCCTCACAGCTGCCTGATGTCCGGTACCCAGACCCAGGTCCTCACAGAAAGCTAGTCCAGGTTTCAGGCTCTTTGGTGCGGCTCCCTCCTCCTTCTGTCATGTAATTTCAACCCTTTCCTTTCCTCAAGTAAAGCAGAGCTTATTCTGACACTGCTAGCCTCCTGCATCAACGCAACTCATGAACATTTGATCAAATCCCTCCATCAAAATATAGAGCAGTGACTATATAGTAAACTTTATAGTGAACTATAGATAACTGACCATTTAGACAGATGATCACTGCTCTTTGCTCCGTTGATCACCTAACTCCTCCTCCACCGCGCGGTGCCTGCGCCATCTTTGTTACTAGTCGCCGCTGTCGGGTAGCGACAGCCTATGGATACAGCAGGCCGCTGTGACAGCAAATCCCATCATGCTTTGCGAGGAGAGCTCTCTGCTAAAAAAGCTACCAAAGTGAGCGGTGCCATGGTAATGAGTAATGAGTCAATTTGTCCACTGTGAGATCAATCAATCAATCAATCTACCGTTAGGGGCAGGGCTTAGTTTGACATTTAGCGTTATTTAGCTCAGATATGTTCATATATAGAAAATTATAAATGGAAATTTCATTTGATGTGCCTATAGGGCGGCCATCTTGGGTCAGACCACAGTTCAGACAGCTGACAGAATGATCTGATCTCATTTTAGTCACATGAAAGATGAGTCAAAGATAATATTGCAATAATCTCTTACATGTCATCACCCCTTAAAAGAACAAAACACATTTTAAAATGACTTTTCTGTTAAATTACACATATTTATTCAGATTAAAAACTATTTAAACAGAATTTTGCATTTCAAAATTAATATGATACGATAAACAAAAATATGATAAACACAATATTTTTTATCAATACATTATAACATTAAATTATATAAATGTTATATATTTATATAAAATAAAATATATTAATACCGTATATATTTATACATTATATTATTATTATTTGTTTTTTAAGGATTGTACTGTTATAGTTAGTAATACGAATTATAGAGGAAACTTTGTATTCTGATTTAGTAAAGTTATTATTTAATTTTTTTATTCATTTAAATTTTTTGTTATTGTCAAAGTATTTTTTGTCAAATCATAGTGAATGGTAAATTTATAATGTGTGTAACTAAAGGCTTTTTGTCCCGATAAGAGTGGCTAAACTTCTCTACAGTCTGGTTGTCTCTGACAGCAGCTTGGTCTGACCTAAGATGGCCGCTCTGTCGACACACTTCTCACCTGACGACGCGTCTATCAATGTCTATGTATGTTCTCAATATGTCTATGACCCTAATGTTCGAAAATGTTAACAAAAATATCAGCTTTATCAAATAGCTCATTAAATCTAGAAATCTCAAACAAACATAGATAAATATAATATTCAGCTGTGCATCAATCTGCCTGTTTAATGCTGGTAGCTGTTCGAACCGATGCACATGCAGAGCGTCTGACCTCCGCTTTGCTTCTGGGGGAAACGGTGGGGTTAGGTAGAGGATTAGATTTACAATCCCAGAGACTGGTAGACTTAAACTAGCTGGTATGCTGGTGAAGATTCTCAGTCATCCAGGTCAATTATTCCAAAAGAGTTAAAATCAATCCACTGGACTTTGTTTCCAAGTTTAAAGACGTTTCTCTTCCGTCCAGGAAGCTTTTTCAATTTAAAATGTCAGAAAGAGCGTTGAGTTCTAGGCTTTATACGGTAGCCCAACAAAGCCTTGATTTTGTTTAGAAAACCCCTTTGGAATGGGGGTTGTTTTGTCTCTTTGTTAGCCTGCAATGCTCCATACCTGTCTGAGGCCATTGATCAATTCAATAGAACATGAGTACGGACTCATGTTCTCGCCAAGTCCGATTTTGACTAGAACCCAGGAAAGTCTGGACTCGGGGAGAACGGGAGCACGCAGAATAAATCTGGGTCAACTGGAACAGAAGCGTACTGATGACATCACCACATTCAAAGCTAGTCTGGAGCTGCATTTCACCTGCTGGTATTAATAGAATTTATTAATAAATAATAATAAATTCTGACTTTTTTCATTTAGTTGAGGAATAATAATGAACACAGTCAGATAAACACA